AAAGTCTGTTGCCCAAAATTTTGTTTTCTCTTTTTTTTCTTTAAATTTGCTCTTGGATTTAAATAACAAAAATAAGATGGTATACCTGAGAGCTGTATATCACAATGATATTATTTAGTATATTGCACAAACCAGTTATTCCTGATTTATCTAATTAAGCCATTCCATTGCTATGCAAGATGGTAATGTCCAAATAATAGGTATCCAGCATGAAGATCGAATGAGTGTATCACTGATTGAATGGTTTAGTAATAGAGAGAATATTCTTATTTTGCTATCTATTCGATTCCTTGAAATTAGAATTAAACTTCAAGTTATTCTTTAAATGTAATATTATTTTTTGACAATTATAAACATAGTGCTGTGTTTACTGTTGCAAATTCTTTTTGCTTATTTGAAATTAATAATCTGTACATTAATATTTTCAGAGAAAGAGAATTTGTTAGTGTGATAAATAATTTTTGTTGCTTGAAGCTTGAAGTTGTATGGGGAAATTTAGTTCTTTTGCATAATTCATTTTTATCGGTCTCTGTTTATTTTATTTTATTTTTTTTTTCCTTTTTGTATTGCTGTGCTGATCCTTTCTCATCTGAAAATTTCCAGTAATTTATTGATCTGATCAAGATTTCATTAAATGAAATCCAAATATTTTCTAGTCTTGCTCACACCTTGACTGCAAACTAACTAAAAATTTTTTTAAAAATTTATTTCAGTGTTTCATTTAACTCCAAAATTGTCGAAATCTTTTGCTGAGAACTTACATCCTTTAAATTACTAATTTTTTGATTAGTTTTGAAATTAATACCGTTTAAATTTATTATTATTATTTGTACATTCAAATTTACAATTTTTTTTTCGATATTAAACTTCTCATAGTAAATTTTTGTTCACTAATCGGATTAAAAATATTTTAACAGGAAAGGTGAAATAAAATAAAACTTTGACAGAGGAAAAAAGGATTGTTGCGATATTTGTATCATCGTTCTTTTTTTCTGGTTTCTTTACGGTGAATGATTTAGCGAGTAATACGGGAAAGAAAACCTGATATATTTGTTGTATTTTTTTCGGATATATCATGAGAAATGGAATAAATTTAAATGAATAACAATTGCAGAGATAATAACTGCTTCATATACTCATTAATTGAAATGATACGGGAAGGTCTGAGTTACTCGATTGGTAAATTATACAAATTAGCAAATGAGTGATTTCATTGAAGTGATATATAACAAAAGTTGTAGGGTGGAATTTAATGCAAAGTGTCAATGATAATCCCTCTTAATGGCAATATGAAAATTTTCTTTCCAATAGAAAAATTTTTGAAAAAGTTTTGTCATTTTGAAACGCCTATGTTATAAAAGGAGAACTATTTTACTCCTAACAATAATAGTTTTTGGACAAGTGTAGGCTAACTCAGCATTTTATTCAGTAACAGATCCAATATCGAGTGGATCCAATCAAAATTCATCTTTCTCTTGGTTAGGCCAATGAGAAACATACTTAGAGAACTATTCACGCATGGATTTCAATAGTTTGTCGTAAAATATGGCTGGCGAAGAATTGTAACTCGCTGAAACTTTCTGCTTCACGTCTAGTAATAAGAGTGTGCGAGAAGTTAGTACGTGAATTATTCTATAATATTTGTGTGTTTGACCTTTTGAGAGAGCAATTTGAGAGCATTCCATGCGCAAAAATGTTAGTAAAACGAGTAATAGCTGGAAGAAAACATTGAGAATTCGACCAGCTTTCTATCACCAATGGAAAAGTCGGATAGAATCTGTTTGTCGCAGATTGCTTACTCTTCAATCTCAACATTTTCTAAAAAAGCATTGCATTTGAATTCTTAGCGAAATACTGATTGTCTTTTTCAGTTCCGGACAAAAATTCACGACTTATCGTCCTGTAGCTCGAAAGTCTTATAGGATTGCAATTTTATATTAAAATACAAAAGGCACAAATAATAGAAAATGATGCAAATTCCACATCTTTCTTTGAATGGAAAATAAAGACAATCGATATTCCAGCTTATTTTTGGTTGATTCTATTTCAGACACAAATGCAAATTTATGTAATTCAAATAAAAGCTTCCAGTGACACAAAGTATTTTGCTTTCTAGTGCTTCCAGTGACACGAAATATTCTGTTAATCCGTGTTTATATGGAAAAAACTGTTTTTGACAATTCAATGAAAGGCTTCCAGTGACACAAAATATTTTGTTAATCCCAATTTGTATAAAAAAACTGTATGTGACAGTATTATTTGCTTTTTTGCATAATCTGTATGAAATGCTTTCTGTTTTTCATTCCATTGTTATTTAATACAAAATGGAAAACCGAGATTAATTTCGATTTTTCCTGAATTTTTCTGATCTTTGACTGATTCGATCGTTTCACTATAATAGATCAATATTTTCGTTCAGAATTCAGTTTACTGTCACAAACTTCCTCCTTCCTCACCAAATTCGTTTCTACAATTTCTTTTACTCATTTCATAGTATTGATTAGTCATCGTAACTAATGCAAAAAGTAATTATAGGACTTATTCTTCACTGAACGACCGAATTTGGGTCGAAATCTCGTACATATTACCAATCATTTATTGTCATTACTCATCAAAAGAAGCATACAATAAAGTAGCGAAATGAAAAAATTTGTTTTACGAATTACTCGGAGGAAAATTGCATCTTTTAGCAACCAAATTTATTACACATCCAAAATGATTGGATCCATTTCTCATACTTCTAAAAATTCGAAATTCACTTATTATAGTAAAAAAAACTCGACAAAATCGTATGATTATTCAAATTATTGAGTGTATTCTTAATTTACAGCTTTTGATAACAATGGATTTGAAATATCTTGCCATTCTCACATTCATTGTAAACCATGTAGTATCATCGAATATTACATCAGCAGGTAAACATTTTGAATTTTTAAACTTCAAATTTAAATGAACTTTTTTGGAATGCCACACGGTACATAATTGGGAAATTTGTATGAATTTGCATTTTCTGTTTAAATATGTGCAAAACAAGAACTTTAGTGACGAATTAATTAAAATTTCAGGAGGGACGGATGAAGAAGGAGCCAGCGCTCCCAAAAAAAGAAAGACTGAAACTAAATTTCGGTATCCCAATAATAAACTAGTCTCTGCTCTTGGACAAGTGGGACATATGATTGTTAGTCACTTGCCCCGCGAAGATTTAAGGAATCTTAGCAAGTTAGCACTTTTCTTTCACTTATATATTATCACGCTACAGATATTCCCTAAAGTCGAGAAATCACATCCGCCAAGTTTTGTGATTTCAATTACTAGTAACTGTAAGAAATAAGGGAAATTGAAATGAGTTAATAAGTTATAATGAATTGATTGGTAGTAATATATTAATGGATCATTCTTTCATATCATCTTACAGGGCAATCCCCGTGATGTCTGAATATATAAACTGCGAGTTAAACCGTCGACGCAGAATACTGCATTACCGGGATGGTGAAATAACCCCGTCATATTTAAAAAATGCTTTGGAAGTTATAGATAAGACGAATTTCAAACATTATGATGCATGTTACATTCTTTGTTCCTGTCAAGGATACAATTTGCTAAAAATCAGAACTTATAAAAGTCGAAGATTTGATGACATAATGATGTAAATTCAAACTTTAGCACCGAAAATCCTTCGCGGGGCATCATTGGACACCGACTCATGCTATTTTGTTTGGTGGAGAAAAACCGATCAACGTAGTAGCCGCGGCGTACTGTCGTTGTTCAGTGCTGATTTTCACGTCTCACAAAGATCATCTAAAAATACAGGAGAAAATCGTACTTGGTTAGGAAATTGTAATGGATTTTTGCATCATATGGCATTAAACCACTATTAAACAAACAAATAGTTCTAATTATGTGATTTCAGCAAATGACCCATACCACCCCGATGAAACAAAAGGAGGTCCAATGAACGGAGTGGTCATCCCATACGATTTGCATTTATCCTCGTACGATCACCATACTCTCGTCAATACAGACTTTCAGTTGGTCATCATTTATATTAACAGAAACAAACTGTAATCATTATCAAATTATCCCAAAGTAATCCAGAGTTAAGATTTAATCGTTTTTGGCACAAAACTGCAGTGATTTCTATTCCAAACTTTGCAACAATGATTAAATATAACAGTCGAATGGTCTTAATCCATGAGTGAGTGATAATGATAAGAAGTGATGCTTGAGTGATAACGAAATCTCTCTTTGTCTTAATATATTGGGAATTGTAGGCAGAAGGCATAATAGTGCAAACAGTTTAATTAAGGAGTCCAATTAGAATTAGATTTGACCTAATATACCAAGAATGTTATTCATTCCGCCTCTCAATGCAAAACTTTATCGAATATTCAATATTCAATGGTATATTGGTCAATATCACGTCTGTCCTTAACTGCGGCAGTTTTTTCAGTGAATGGCAAAAAAACCGTATGTCAGGTGTCAATTACCTGAAAATCCTTGATGTGAGTTAATTAAAGTTTAATGCATCAGTATGTGACACTCCGAAATATTAAGTTCATAGCGAAGTGAATTCTACATAGGATTTCATTGCTATAGTTTATTAGAAGTACGATCTTTGGACTCCAATGAAATAATCATAAATTCCAGGGTCCAGTGAAATTGGCCATTGTGATTAGTAACGATCTCATATATACTGATAAAGGCGCTGAAAGTGAAGCACTGGATGCAGCCAAAGATATTCGAAGGAGAGTCCGTAGCGCGCCAATTTGCGTTGTTGCTCAATCGGATAATCGGGAGAATGCGTAAGTCAGACTTGATTGTTTCTTGGCTAACAGATCAATCTAGAATGGAGTGATACAGAAAAGAGTTGATTACAACAATATTCATCCACAGAATGTGTTTGATAGGATGAACATTAATTCCGGTGTCGAATAACAATGTCTTTCTTGACGGTTTCTGAAATAAGACGGATGCTATAATAATTATGGGTAGACGATGAATGTTTAATATTGCCGCAACAAATATGTCAATTTCAGTGCATATATCAATCCGATAGGGACTGGCAGAGTGTTAATATTTCATGGATCAGAAGTAAACGTGTCGACCCTTTCCGTAAATACAAATAACAGCGAAATGCTGAAAAGAAAGTTTGAAGACTGGAAGGTTTGATTTGTTTATTCGCTCCAATTGTTTTTTTAATTTGTTTCAGTTTATTCGTAATCGTTAATTTTTTCTCATTAAACGCGCGTTATTTTTCCACTTTTTTGAGGTTTGACTGCGTTTTTTACGTGACTTCACGTATTGTCAATATTTATCAAAAATATGCTCGTTATAACTTTGCTAATTGTGTAAAATTATCTCTTTTCTGCAGAAGGAATTGCTCTTCTTTAACACTCACCAAGTAATAGCCTTCCATTTTACTGTGGTCAATGGCACTGAACCAGAAGATAGCGAAAAGATATTCAGGTAGAATATTTGGAATATTCAACGAGCCATTCATGATCAGTTTCCAGAATCACATAATGATGTATTACGGACATGTCACAGCGAAAGTGCACAGGGCAAGCGATTCTGCTGGCTCTGCCTTTTCTCTGATCTGATTAGAATATAGACATCATTTTCTCTTTACAGAAATACATTCCCAGACATTCCGCTGAGTACGTTACGTTTACTTGATGAATCATCGATGACTGGAGTTAACTATGAAGTTAGAACGGAATTTATGAAATTTCATCTCCATGTCGGTCCTATATATGCAATTGTTGGTTTTCGAAAATTTGGTGAAGAAAATCCAGTTACGGAAGATCTCTCCGAGGAAAATGATTGATTTTTGTTATTCATTGACTGTTTCATAGACATAGTTCAAATGAATTTCGATAAGTGATTCAATTGTTTTGTGAGCAGTTAGAGCCATAAAGACATTGTTATGGAGATGTGATAAATGTTTGGTAATATATAAAAACGGATGATTCATTTGAAGTGTCGCATATCATCCAAAATATGTAAACTAAACCAATTTTTGTATCTTAAAAACACAGCAATAATTAGGCTTCTGATTAGTATGGCCAGCGATGAATGTACGTTACTTGACTGTGTCAATGAAATCATTAGTCTTGTCAACAGTAAGCAAAATTTCCGAAACTTCCTTGCCGAATTATTTAATTGAATTGCTTAGAGGATTTGTAAGTTGATC